GAAACTATTAAAACATTTAGCAAACTGAAAATCAATATGAAAAAGTTAACAGAATTTTAAAAATATATTAATATTTAATCCTATGTTATTTCAGTTAGTTGCCAATGTTGTTATTTTGATGTAGTTTAAGCTGAAGTACTAAAATTAATAAAACTGAAATAGAAATGAATAAATACTAGACATAACTAATAGAGAATTACTAAAACTTGATCTAAAATCAGAATGAACGCAGAACATTTTAAAACCATGTTATTTTTTAATTAAGACTAATTCAAAATAATAATAAAAACTGCAATAGTATATTACTGATACAAAAATAACACTGGGTTCAACTGGTATTTAAAGGAACACATTTTTTTGTGAAAACATCATATCTACCCTTATGTGTATTACCTGATACTGGAGAGCGTCAAAACCTTTAAATACGAACTCAAACAGCGTGTGCAGATTGTCTGGGCTGGGTGATGTGACAAACATATTTGAATAGCTGAGAAGAGAATTACAACAAACACAAGTTATTTATTAGCATAAATTGCAGTCAGGAGGCAAATGTAACAAGAAAAATGAGTTTATTCATAATACCCCACTACATACCCAAAAGCAACAGCTCCGGCTACAGCCAATCCCAGTGCAGCAGATTTGCCTCGACCGCGGGCAGCAGTAAGAGCTACAGTGCTCCGCAAGGTCTTCTCTGAAATAGCCTCGATGAACTTCAGCACTGCTTTGGCCTAAAGACATAAACACAGGCAAAATAAAATATTAAGTTGGGCTACATGAAACAAATCAAGATTTCTAGGAGTTATTTTAATTATACCTGATCCATAGTTTTACAGCTGTCCACTAGAACACCAACTGGCTGTGTGTCCTGTAAAGACTCCTTTAGGTCCTTTAGCTCTTGTTCCCTTGGAGACAGTCCATCATCCTTTTGGCAAATACAAAGATGATGGAATTCATATGAGCTAATAATCAAACAAAACACTGTCCAATTATGAACAAGAGTTACCTGCGTCTTTGAAGGGACAGGTTTGATGTTGGTAATGTGAGTGGAGATTGGCAGAATGTTTAGTTGGTCTTCGATTACAACACATGTCTTACAGGAGGCAAGAGAAAGGATGAATCTGGGGTAAATAAGATTATATCATTTTTACATGCATTTTTTTCTTACAGGACAGGATATGCACCTCAGATTAGGGCTGAAGGATGTAAATGAAATCAAAATCATGTGGATCATTTGTAGCAGAATCTGCTCATCAGAGTTTGGGTCACTTACAACATGCATTTGAGAACGCAACATCTTGTTAACAAAGAAGCTTTAAAAGTTCCCTGTGGTTGTCTATGAAAATGAAAGTTTGGAATATAAAAGAAATTAATACTTAAATATTAGTATTGTAATTTTACAGTTGTACTGTAAAATTAGATTATTTTTCTTAATTTTTTTTATTTGACTGTGAAATAGTATTACAATAGTAAAAGTTTTATGTTTTTTTATTTAATGATAATCAAAATAAAATAATAAAATGAAATTATTATTATTATATTGATATATAAATCACAAAATATTCAGCCAAACTGTGCAGTCACACAAAAAAGCACAGCAAACCTGCAGCCTTTAAAAAAATAAAAAAATTAACCCCTTAACTCTTACCGTCACTCACATTTTTGAACATAGACGTGAAAGTGCACGATCCAAACTTACATTTTTATAATTCATGAACGAAAATATTTTGTAACATGATATTGATGTACCATTTTCATGGTAATGCAAGTTTGATTTTAAAATGGGTTTCAAAGGATGAATTTTGAGATTTAAATTTTTCAATTGATATATAATTTCTGATGATTTCTAAAGTGTGATAGAGAAAAAGGCAACAAAGACGACTTTTTTTTTTGACAAAGGTCAGAACTGTTATGATGTAGATTTTTGAGGTGCACTCTTGTCAAAAATTAATCTATTACTTTTCCAACATAATTTCTAACAAAAACATTGGTAAAATATCTATTTAAGAGTCTCAGACCTTTCCAACGACATATAGTTTGTCATGATTAGATTAGGATTTAATTGTAATATAGTGAAGTAAACTTAGGCGTCCCACGGAAGGGACGGGTGACAGTTAAAGGGTTAAAAACACAACCACAATTTTAATAAGAAGGAAAAAATATATACCGCATATATTTTTTCCCCACAAAATGCAGATATACAGTGGGTACGGAAAGTATTCAGACCCCCTTAAATTTTTCACTCTTTGTTATATTGCAGCCATTTGCTAAAATCATTTAAGTATTTTTTTTTTTCTTTTTTAATAAATCTGCAAAAATGTCAACAATTCTGTGTTTTTCTGTCAATATGGGGTGCTGTGTGTACATTAATGAGGGAAAAAAAAGTACTTAAATGATTTTAGCAAATGGCTGCAATATAACAAAGAGTGAAAAATTTAAGGGGGCCTGAATACTTTCCGTACCCACTGTATAAGTATATAAATAAATAACAGATATATAAATATTATAATCAGGGTTTTTGTCATTAAACGTCGAAAGACTGACCTTTCATTGAACCTTCCAACAACATCCTGATGAGCCTCTGTCCTGTATCGAGAATGAACATCCTGAAAGAAAACATGCATTTTAATAATTATATTCACGCACAAATTGCCAGATTAATATTGGTATACAAACACTTAAGAGGCCATTCACCATTGTCATTGTGTACAGCTGCTTCAGTGAATTCATAGTCCTCAGAAGAATGACCACAATGCCTCCACCCTCCACAGTCTCGATGGTCCGAGCCAAGAGGTTGGGAGTGAGAGCTTCAAAGTCCTGTAACAAAAAGTGAGAAGAACTTCACGCTAAACTGCTGCAAACCCCATTGTACTACATACCTCCCATCAATTTTTACAAGTAAAAGTAAAAGGCCTTTTACTACAATTCTAAAAACACCCCCCTTCAGGTTGTGGTACATGTGTCTTCTTGCTATGAAATCTTTACAGACTTTTATGAATATGAATTCCATATGTCAGGCTTTACATATGTCTGAGAAGTTCGTCAATGGTATTACCTGCAGAACACACATGCCATAGGTGTTTCCCAGGATCTTGTGCGTTTCATTGTAGTAGCAGTATCGGATGTTGGTAGCAGCAACGAAGAGCTCAAAAGGATCATCCTTGTTTAGGTTCAGCGTGCCTGTTTTGATCTTCTTCTGCAGCTGTCGCATCCTCTTCTTTCGATTACTATGAAACAACAGATTCATTTCTATAAAGGTTCCTACAATTTTATATCCAATTCACAATCTGAACCAAGTCAATGGAAACAAAGTCTAATTATATGAACAAGGGTCTGTCATCAAAGTTGTTTGTGAAAATACAATAAAATGTTCATATTACCTGCTGAAGCTAAGCTCCTTTTTGTAGCACCATAACACTGATGGCCGGGCTCTGACTGTTGCTTTAGATAGCATGTGGTGCAGAACGACAACCTGGATGCAAAATGCACATATGAGTGAGGCTTAGCAAACGTCGTTACAGTATTACAATATTTTTAAACACGGTTATGCTTTACCTGATCTCTGCCACGATCACCAACTATAAAGAACATAGATCGATGGTGTTGAGCGACACCGTTTTCTATCTGGATTCGAATGCGATTGTCCACCTTCTTCCGAAAAGTTGCCATTGCTTCCCAAATGCACCCTGTCACCACGAACATGACAAAGTCAGCTTTAAATATGAAATGCATTGGGTGAAATGAGGTAAACACTGTAGTGTGATACTTTAAACACATTTTACATAGCGTTCAGACAAAACTAGGTTTATTTTTAAACATGTTTATTCATATCGCAAGACATACCTCAAATGTTCTACCGGTAAAGCAAAATACGCTGTTGAAGTGTTATATGCAACTTTTGGGCAATAAAAATTCGCCTCATTTACAGCAGTCTAGCATGCTCGTACATTCACGTGGGAACCCTCGGCGAAAGGACCCAGGTATGATGGGCCCCAAAACAGATATATAGCAGTTCACGATAACGCCTGTTCTTAATGAGCGAATAACGCGCGTATTATTTGTATTTAATAAATTAGTGTCTGCGGTTGACATGACCTAAAAAGATTTTCATTTTGCACACATCAGACTTAAACTGCGTTTTTTTCTGATATAATGTCAGATTCGTCAAGGCGGTAAACTTGTATCATTGTGGGAGTTGTAGTCTTTCTGTAGAAACGTAATTTCGTTACATTGGCCCTCTATGAAACAAATTCAAACATTTAAAACTTACCGTTTCTGTATTTCTCTATAGCAGGGATCCTCAAATCTGGCCCACGAGATCCACTTTCCTGCAGAGTTTCACTCCAACCCTAATCAAACACACCGGAGCATGTTAATCAATGTCTTCAGGATCATTAGAAAATCACAGGTAGGTGAGTTTGGTTAGGGTTGGAGCTAAACTCTGCAGCACATTGGCCCTCCAGGGCAAGATTTGAGGAACCCTGCTCTATAGATTTGTGCCACATCGTCCTCGGCGTGTACATGTTGTTACATTCACGGTTTGTGATGTACTTTTGATTGTAATTGTTGCATTCAAAATGTGGGTGTGCAAGACTCATTAGAAGCCATGTTTCCTATGCGTCTTATTCTTTATAATCTTAAACATAACTGTTGTTCTGTACATCACCAGTGGTCATACACTGTACCTACATTAGTAGTGATATACCTCGTATAGAGGCAGTATAGAAAGGGAGAGTCAATCATACAGCAGAGAATCCTGTGTTTGTAAGTCATTTAAGACCACTTCTTATGTAGAACTTTATGTAAAAGCACCTCCAATAGAGAATTTACTTGATGTTATAACATTTGCATATTGTGCAGATTTGTGTCTTCTAACCAAATGGCAGTGGTTCTAAGGTCCTTTAGGTTGATCGGCATTGTAAGGATGCCAAATATATTGACATCCAATAAAACCAAATATGTCTGGACTTGATATTGTAATCACCAAGACTCAAACGGCACTCCAGCATTTAATGCAACCCATCTTTATTGAAACTCCTGAAGCAATATCGCTTTATAAACAGAGTCTGGGAGCATCTTAATGTACCAAAAGAAACATATTAGAACCAAAATGAATTAGTGTGAACAGAACAGTGGGGCAAAAAGAGAACTCCCAATCTTGGACCAGCTGTGGCAGGTATGAGTTTTATTTCCTACAAAAAAATAAAAAATAAATTAAGTCTTTCAAGTTCACAGGTATCTGTTAGAAACAGGGTAGTTTTAAAATCTTGACGCTGGGTTTTCAGCTTGCTTTCCGAATCATTTTCTCCATTTTAACATATCAGGGTAGACGTTGTCCGATCAATTCCAGGAAGGTAAGAGAAGGGGGGAAAAAAACAGCCAGGACAAATGCACTTCAGTATCTGAATGTTCACTGTGATCCAGATGTAAGCTCAGTTCACAGGGCTTAAGACCGCATGGCTGGAGCATTTCCTCGAGAGACCCCTCGAGCCCCCTGGCCAGCACCACGTTTATAGTTTGGTTGGTAACCATCCTGTGGAGAGACAAATAAAAAGATTAAAGAAGACGTCAATGTCTCAACAGTATTTTGAGGATGTGTTGAGACTAGTGTTGTCAAAAGATCCGGTACTTCGGTACCAAGTCGGTACTAAAAAAATGAAAACGTTACGGTACCAGGTTTTTTTAAGTACCGGTGGTACCGAGTACCCATTCAACCCGGTTCTTGATGCGCTTATCCGAAAGGTCCGCAGATGCGCTCTCTTCATAAAAGCACGGAGACATGGCGACCTCAAAATGAGGAAACCCATTAAACTAACAAAACACTTTAAAGACAGACACCCAGATCAAATGAAAGCGTTCAAGCAGGTAAGTTTAATTTTAATTTTTCAGTGTTTGCCATACATTGATTTATTTGTGGCGCCCTCCACAATATCAAAACTGACCGCCACAAATAGATTTTCCAAAAGGCTTTGACTTCGTTGAATAAACATGAGCACTGCACGTGTCAAAGTCGAAACCCGGTGCGGGTGTTTTGTTCTGGCAGAGAATGAATTTGCATATATACAGTGGGGCAAATAAGTATTTGATACACTGCCGATTTTTCAAGTTTTTCCACTTACAAAGAATGGAGAGATCTGTAATTTTCATCATAGGTACACCTCAACTGTGAGAGACCGAATAAAAAAAAAATCCAGAAAATAACATTGTATGATTTTTTAATAATTAATTTCCATTTTATTGCATGAAATAAGTATTTGATACAATAGAAAAATAGAACTTAATATTTGGTACAGAAACCTTTGTTTACAATTACAGAGGTCAGACGCTTCCTGTAGTTCTTGACCAGGTTTGCACACACTGCAGCAGGGATTTTGGCCCACTCCTCCATACAGGTGTTCTCCAGATCTTTCAGGTTTTGGGGCTGTCGCTGGGCAACATGGAGTTTCAGCTCCCTCCATAGATTTTCTATTGGGTTCAGGTCTGGAGACTGGCTAGGCCACTCCAGGACCTTGAAATGCTTCTTACGGAGCCGCTCCTTAGTTGCCCTGGCTGTGTGTTTGGGGTCATTGTCATGCTGAAAGACCCAGCCACGTTTCATCTTCAATGCCCTTGCTGATGGAAGGAGGTTTTCATTCAAAATCTCCCGATACATGGCCCCATTCATTCTTTCGTTTACACGGATCAGTCATCCTGGTCCCTTTGCAGAAAAACAGCCCCAAAGCATGATGTTTCCACCCCCATGCTTCACGGTTGGGATGGTGTTCTTGGGATTATACTCATTCTTCTTCTTCCTCCAAACACGTCGAGTGGAGTTTATACCAAAAACTTCTATTTTGGTCTCCTCTGACCACATGACCTTCTCCCATGCCTCCTCTGGATCATCCAGATGGTCTTTGGCAAACTTCAGACGGGCCTGGACATGTGCTGGCTTGAGCAGGGGGACCTTGCCCACGCTGCAGGATTTTAATCCATGACGGTGTAGTGTGTTACTAATGGTAACCGTTGAGACTGTGGTCCCAGCTCTCTTCAGGTCATTGACCAGGTCCTCCCGTGTAGTTCTAGGCTGATCCCTCACCTTTCTCAGGATCATTGATACTCCACGAGGCGAGATCTTGCATGGAGCCCCAGTCCGAGGGAGATTGACAGTCATCTTGAATTTCTTCCATTTTCTAATAATTGTGCCAACAATTGTTGCCTTCTCACCAAGCTGTTTGCCTATTTTCCTGTAGCCCATCCCAGCCTTGTGCAGGTCTACAATTTTGTCCCTGGTGTCCTTAGACAGCTCTTTGGTCTTGCCCATAGTGGAGAGGTTGGAGTCTGATTGATTGAGTGTGTGGACCGGTGTCTTTTATACAGGTAACAAGTTCAAACAGGTGCAATTAATACAGGTAATGAGTGGAGGATAGGAGGGCTTCTTAAAGACAAACTAACAGGTCTGTGAGAGCTAGAATTCTTGCTGGTTGGTAGGTGATCAAATACTTATTTCATGCAATAAAATGGAAATTAATTATTTAAAAATCATACAATGTGATTTTCTGGATTATTTTTTTTGATTCTGTCTCTCATAGTTGAGGTGTACCTATGATGAAAATTACAGATCTCTCCATTCTTTGTAAGTGGGAAAACTTGAAAAATCAGCAGTGTATCAAATACTTATTTGCCCCACTGTATGCCGCCACAAATAGAGTGCAAGTCTGTGGGAAACACCGCTCAGTTATGAATATTATTCAGTATTTTAATTTGAATCTCGGATTGAATGAACATCGCTGTTATTAGAGTAGTTAATCATTAGCATAAGCGCGGCTAACGCTAATATAATGAGCATTAGAATTAAGTTTCTTTATTAACTTTTTAATGCCTATATCTTTTATTAGGGTTAAAAAAAATAAAAAAATAAAAAAACAGGAGGACATGATGATATTTACTATTTTTACACAGGCTTTTAAATTAATTGTGAATCTAAAATATGAGTGTTAGAGAACGTACAAATGGTTAACATTGTTTGTCACATCAGTCAGAAAAGCAGTTCTGGGCTTTTTTTTTTTTTTTTTT